AAAAAAAAATCAAATTCTGATTGGTTCTCGCTCATGGAGTTACAAAAGAGTGCACCAAGATGGCGGTGGCTCGAATGTTAGCAAAAATAATGAAAATATTACCTAATTCTCCTTTATCAAGAGTAAATTGTTATTTCCATCGGTCCAAAATGAAAATAGATTAAGAAATTATATTTTCACAAACCAATCTCATTTTATTTATGATTGATCAGTTTTATCGTTGATGTTGTTTTTGGATGGCAGACATCGCAGGATTCCTTATCCTTATCCCTCAATATCGTTCGTTTGGGTGCACACTTTTGTGACACCATGGTCAGTCCAGGCCAGCTGATAATCGAGATGTCTTCACTCTGGGTATAAAGGGACACTACAAAAGGGCTGCCCACCTTTGAACTCGAAGTATCCAGAGGTACTAATTTTCATTATTCTTTACTGCCCATCGTTTCATAACTGATCAATAATCGTAAAAGTACGTATTAAACTTTGATTTCGCATACATTTTCTCACTTTTAAAGTCCTTAATCCGTAAAGACGCTTGTTTAAAATACACCGTCGGTCGTATTGAGTTGGTGTTGATTTTTTTCTCTGTGTGTAGTTTACATCAACCGCACTCGTTTTAACCAGTACAATCACTTCGTTTTCTCTTTGTCTGTCAATTTTAATAACCAGCCCACAGATCGCGCATCTGGTAAAATATGTGACGCAGTAGGTTAAAATGTTTCATAAGTCGGAAACGCAAATTCTTTGGCACGACAAAAAACGGCTCAGGGTCAAAAATACCCATTTTTAGTTTTCCATGCTGCTAAGTTTACAATATTCGTAAGAGCATGGGGTCAACGTCTCATGCCGTGATTCACATTATTTTATTAATGATGTTATAAGAGTTTGAACTGAATCGTTTCTCAGAGTGTGAGTACTACGGTGAAATCGATAGATAAGCGCAAGTATTACAAATTCAAGTAGTGAACAAGCGCAAGCAACGAGTGTTTGCATTTTTAAACACCTCCTCAGTGTGCAAATGTGACTGACGTGCAGATTAGAATCAAATCCACACAATTTCCGTCAACCTGTCAAGCGAGCTGAGAAGAGAGTACTATCCTATCATGCCAGTTGCGTAGTAAAAACTGCTGTAGTTTCCTCATTTAGAAAGCGCCACTAGTCAATCATTTCAAGTTTCATTGAAGATTTCATCTCAAGCCGTCAGAATTATTTAGGGCTCAACGAGGAAAAAACCGATTGATAGAAAAAGTAGGAGTGCAAAATCCGGAAAAATGATGATTATAGATCGGTTATCACTGCATACCTACTGCAATGCCGATGCGTCTGGTTGCATTAGCGCATGTTGTCCTGTTATTTTTACTCCTGGCGGGGAATATTCTCCAGGCGGTAATTTCGATAAATTACGATCGATGCGATGATATTGTATTTATTGATACCAAGACAGTGAAAAGGGTAAAAGTACCGTATTTGTAATAATTTTAAAAAGGTCACCAGCATGATAAATTCGATAGCTGCAATTGCAAGACGGGGTATGATTTTCTTTCCTTTTTTGGGTCGTAACTTGACTTGATCTGAACTATCTAAATTACATCTACATCTTAATATTTTCTTAATGCGCAATCTTTAAAATATTAATAGGACAATTCATTTTATGCACAAAGTACTGAACTTAACCCTCTAATAATTAATGTTCGAACTTTAAAAAAAGATATCATTCAAGTGTCTCTCATTTGCTAATTGAATTTAATAGAAAATTAATTTAAGTAGACAGGTCTAATGGCAACTTTAAAATATTGAATATTTCTGAAATTTAAGTTTCACTCTTAGATTTCGGACAAACATTGTGATGAATCAATCTGCGGAACTGTATCGGTGAGGGCATGTTTCAAATTTCTAAGTAAATGGGTAAGTAGTGAGGGTCTACCAAGTTCAGGGGTGAACATTTTTTAGTGTTGCAGCACTTGGGGAATAATTGGTAAGATACGAATTTCTTCAAATTTAACAAAGCATATTTTTTCTCACCATTTTTTACAGTAAAACTAAATCTAAATATTGTGAATCATCAAGCAATTTTGGGAAACATGTATACTTTGTGCTGAAAAAATTATACAAAACAATTACAGATTGACCGAACATTTCCCTTACAGGTCTTTGCTAAATATTTGAATCCATTTTTGTTAACAGTCAGGAAAAACCTCAGAATATACATCTAAGATTTAATTATTCAGGACCTGCCTGAGGGTTTGACAAATTCCCGATTTGGCTTTGAAATCAACAAATTTAACTTGGTTAAAATTCGGAATATTAAGAGAAATAGAGGCCTAACTTACAATACTGCCGTACCGAGGAAAAGCGCCGTGTAAACATTCGAGAGTTGCCAAATTTCCTTATACAAAATTTTTATTTTTAAGGAAAATTATAAATATATTTCCTTGAAATTTTCAGACACTTTAGATCAAATTACTGACAACATTATCTAAGAAATGGGCAGAAAAATATTCGAAAGTTTTCCTGAAAATTAGCGATTTGCCAGAGTAAATTTGGCAACGCCTTGATGCTCATACGCCGTTTTTCCTTAGCACGGCAGAGTAGAGGTTTTGAATCTCTACCTGGGCCCATTTGATTATACTAGCCCGAAAAATAAATAAATTTGACTCGCTCAAAATTCGTCAATCAAAACCATCTTTCCGTCCAAAACTAGTTTTATTATGCATGACTCCGGTGTGCTTCAATTTCCTCGACGAGTATGATAAGAATATTGCGTGCGGATTCCAGACGGGGGCAGAGGAAAGCCCCCCCCCCCCCCCCCCCCCCNAGTTTGCCCCGGCGCGGCGTATCGCGAATAACTTGCGAATAGCGGACAAGCGGAAAATTATCTGGACAATGTGTAAATCAAAGACTGTCGCATTCAACATCCGGGAAAATTCGGTGACCACGATGAGGAAAACCCAGACACACAACAAGAAACAAGATAATAAAGTTACAACGCGACGTAATATATTTTTGTTTCGCTGTACTTTCGTCCGGAAAACGTACTTTTTCTCTTTCCTTTTTTTGTCTGAGTTCAGGAGACAGGAGATAACCAGAGGATAGTGAGGGTAACTACACAACGGTGCAAATTTTGAGAGTCCAATGCAGTGGACCGTCCTTTGCGTAAATGTTTTTTCCAAATAAACTCTTCAATTTTTTTTTTTTTTGGGGGGGGGGAGGGACTTTTTTTTCAAATATTCTATTACACATCAAGCTTCAATAGGTCCTGCTCAAATATTGAAAATTAATATGGATGTGTCAATCACCCCCTTTTCAAACATGCACTGTTTCTGAGAAAACAGACATTAGTTTCCGAAGCAGGTTTTTCTTCTCTTTCCGCCGGGGAATAAGCGACTTCAGTTGAGTTGTATTTTAAGTCCATGCATATAGTATTTCAGAGCGATAGAATCTACGTCCGTATTAAACTAAAGAAATACACGTTTATAGCATTCCTTTGGAAACTAAACCATTCAAATTTAATCCCTGAGCCACATACTACAGTCCCGGCTGAAAGCAGTAACTTCAATCGTTCTTTTCTCAATAGCACAGTTTATCGCCTCTACAAAAGTGCCATGACGTTGGCTTCAAAGAGCCTCCCAAAAAAGCTTGTGATTGCCCTTACTTGAGGAACTTGACCATTTTATTGACATACTCAACGTGCGACTGGATTTCTGAAAAAGGACCTTACCCTTTGGGTGGAAACTTGTCTTATTTGTCATCTTTACGATATTTTTTCAATTGCATAAAGTAAGAGAATCTGATGATTTTGTGCAAGTTTGGCTCCAGAAGCTTAGGAACGGAGGAAGATATGAGTCCTACAGCTTGTGAGCAGGGTGAAGATAGGATACTAAAAAATATGGACACATTCGACATTCTTGGTCTAGGCTTTTCAAATAATTAGGGATCAGGGAGGAGATAAATCTGATTTAGTATCCGTGAAAATTTGTCGCCACCACCAGGGATCGAACCCATGCAGGACCGGCTGACCTAGAGTTGGACAGGCCAACCTTTAGACCAAGGTAGTCGACTGATTTAATTTTATACTGATTTCTATCATCCCTTCAATTTCAGGATTTCCATAATTGTTTTTCCTTGTTCCTTAACACTGACTTTCCCAACCTGACTTTTTCCTGACTTTTTTCCCTGATCCCAAAATTTTCGAAATCCTTGGCTTTTCACAATCTTTGAAAAAAACTTCCGCTTAGGTTTTCTTCCCCTTCTCCACTTACGCTGACTTATGCCAATCACTGCTTGCAAAATTCCAGGGAATTGTCTCCTTGTATATCCCTGACTTTCCCTGAACTTTGAAAAAAAATTCCTCTTAGGTTTTTCCACCCTTATTCGTTTACGCCAACTTATGCTAAATGCTGCTTACAAAATTCCAAGAATTGTCTCCTGAATTCCCTGACTTTCCATACCTAACGTCTCCAAGTCTTTGTAAACACCCTGAATTTCCACGTTTTCCAGACCGCCGGCAACGCCACGGTTTCCAGAGAGGGCAACTTTTTTGACCCGAAAGCTCAAAACTTAGCTTTAAAGCTTAGCTCTTCGTTAAAATTACAACTTATTTTGTTAAAAAAAGAAATAAAATAAAACTAACCGTACGTACCGCTTGCAAAATGCCAGAAATTGTCTTCTAAATTCCCTGATTTTCTCTAAAGTCTCTGGGTCTCTATAAATACCCTGAATTTCCTCGGAATCCAGACCGCCGGCAACCTTACGGTTTCCAAAGAAGGCAACTTTTTTTACACGAAAGCCTACATACATACATATCAAGCCGCTACCTCAGCGCACTAGAGCGCTCTGCGACTCCAAATCGCCATCGGAATCGATCCTCCCACAAATCATCGGGCAGATTACACCGTCTCATCTCCCCCTCCACGAAAGCCTCCTTTTCGTAAAAATTACAACTTTTTTACAACAAACTTCTTTACGATACAACAAAATAAATGAAAAATAAGTGTACGTACCGTGATCTATAGATTTGGCGGACGGCTGCTCGAGGCGCTCGTAGGTTTGAAGAGCGGGAGCCCTCTCGAGCTGAGAGGCGAGGAGCATCTCCTCCTGGTGGAGACGGGAGTTTCGGAGGGAGATTTTGTTGTGGTGGCTGTTGCCGCGGTGGCTGGTCTGAGCGTGTGCGTGCTGATTGCGGTGCTTTTCGTGGGCGCTGTGCTGGCTGCGGTGGTGTCTTTGCGGCTGGTTCGCGCTCGCGGCGCGGGAGAGGGTGGCGAGGATGACGATCAGAAGGAGCAGACGAACCCGCCGGTTAGGGGCACTCGACATGCTGCCGCAGACCGATTCGATCAATCGCCTTGATCAGCCTGATCAACCTGAGCAATCTCATCAAAACCGCTCCCGGGGCACATCGCAACGCCACGCCGCACGGCTCCGTCGCCGCGCCGGCTCCGCCAAAACTCACCAACGCCAAAACCGCACGCCAAAACGTCTGTCCGACGCACTTCCGCCGATCACAAAACTGGCACAAAACCACTCCCAGTCGTCACAAAATGAATCCCGGTAGGCACGAGTATTCACAGAATCCACCACTCGGTACGCGGTTCAAATCCACCACTTCCTTCGACTATTGCTTAGGAACGACGTTTAGGTCTAGAAAGGCACATCAAGTATTCTTTTTTCCTCCGTTTCATCGATAATGCACCTCGGAGTGAACGCACGCGGTTGCCGAAAACAAAAATAAACAAAGTTGTAAAAATAAAAAAAAAATAAACAAAACGAACTCTCGGGGGGACCTACATGTAGCTTGAGAGGTTTCGAGCGTAGGGAGCGCTACATACTGTTCCCTTTAGTGATGCGAACTATAGGGGAGTGACCGCTTGTCGAAATTCTGGTCCCTCTCTGCGGGGCCGGGCCTGGGATTGATGATTTTGTAATTTGGGCTGATGAGCCCGAAGTTGAACGGGTAGAGATTCTTCTTGTTCAGCGTCCTTTCGTTGCCGGCCGCGCTGACCATCTTAGACGAGGGCCTCGCACTGGGTCACAGGGTCACAGGGAGCCGGGGGCGCCGGGCATGTCTACCGGGAGCGAGCCGCCGAAAATCGCGCTTCCGGGGGGGTCGCGGTTCCGATTTCGGGTTCGCACCTGCGAGTCGGGCGGGGAACGCGGAGGCACAGGGAGCACGTGGTATGCCGGCGACAGACCGCTTGGAACTAGTCACTGGCATAGTTGTGTCTGAGCATGGTCCACCAGGCATGCGTTGCCCGCACCGCGACGCCGATCAGCTGAGAAGAGACACACTCCCCCTCCCGCCCGTGCATTGCACCCCACCCNCCCCCAACCCGCCCCCCGGCCGGCGCCCCTCCCCCCCTCGCGGTGCTTTGCGGCTCGCGCTACAACCGGAGGTGAGTTTTCACCCTAATCGGTCTGACTCGGCCCAGACTGGTGTTTTCTTCGCACGCGGCGGGCTACGGTGACCCCCTGCCCCCCACCCCCTCCGCCTCCCGGCGGGAGACGTGCGTCGGTTCCCGCAATTTGTCCGGGTCCCCCAAGTTTACATCTTTTCTGGATAAATCTTCGCGGATCGAAGTTCGGAACTCTCCGAAGGGAAGCGGTTTTCCGGAGCTTTTATGGAGAGGGACTTTTGTGGCTTGACCGATTCGTTCCTGCGCTGATTCTCGTCATGTTACGCGCACGTTATATGCTAGATTTGAGGTTGAAAAGAGGTATTGTTAAGATTTTTGTTTCTTATTTTTTTGCTATTAATATGCGTGGTTAAGATTTGCAGATTTTCTGGTTGCTGGAACGCGGAGCTTTTATGGAGAGGAACTTTTATGGCTGGACCGATTCGTTCCTGCGCTGATTCTCGTGATGTTACGCGCACGTTATATGCTAGATTTGAGGTTGAAAAGAGGTATTGTTAAGATTTTTGTTTCTTATTTTTTTGCTATTAATATGCGTGGTTAAGATTTGCAGATTTTCTGGTTGCTGGAACGCGGAATTCCAACAAGGAAAGCAATGGAAAGAAAAGACTAGATTTTGCTCTTTTTTGAAGCAACTTTAAAATGATGTTCAAGAAATAAAGTTCAGAAGTTTAGTTTTCAGTTTAGTTGAGGAGAATAGTTTTTCTAAAGTTGGTTACTTCTTCAGAAGAGAAAGTTCCTTCAATTTTGAGAATGCAACACGCACATCCGTAAAACACGAATAGTTGCGTCAAGCCGCCGCAACCTACTTAGGTCGAGATACTTCGTGGGTCGAGATAATCAACGATTTGAATTGGTCATTCTAAAAGAGACTCAAGCGCCACAAATTATAATTCGAGAAAAACAGTGAAAAAATACTTACTCGGCCTAATCTAAATCTCAAAACTCGGAAATCATAAAGTGACGAATGATCAAATCACATCATTATAAAATCTACGATTTTAGTCGTGTCGATTTTAACAGTTTTCAATGTTTTTCTCTCGTTTTCATTTTTGGTGCTTAAGGTTTTTTTTTTTTTTAATAATGTCCGATTCGATTAACGGCCTTAGACACTTTGGCGTTCTGTCGCTGACCGGTAATAATCTCCCCACTCCGGTGCTCTGTTGTCAGAGTGCTGCAACTGACGAGTTTCGCGCTGCTCTGATGAAATGAGAAACGCGAGAGTGCCTTCAATTTTGTACACGCAACACGCACATCCATGGAACACGAATAGTTGCATGAAGGCGCTACAGTCAACCAGTCTAGTGTTTATGCAACGGGAAGGCCTCGAGTTTTTGAATATGCAACACGCACATGTTTTGACATGTTTAAGTTTCGTTCGAATCTCGCGCATAACTCATCAGAAGTCGGTCAATGGGGGACATTCTTCAATTAGCGTATGGAGTGCATTTAAAGGCGGCTCACTTTTCAGAATTTGAACCAGCCAGTCCGTGAGACACTCTCCGGACTGGGCAATTTTGTTGAAGAGGTGTAAAATACAGCCCTTTAATATCTACAGCGTACAAAATGTCTGAATGAATGAAACGTTAACCTCTCTCCAACTTATGCGACAAAACTGATAATGAGATATCTTTGAAAATTGAATAACACTGTGGATTGTTTTTATCACTCACATGCAGCTTGATAAAATGTATTTATTATCATCATTTGCTTTACCTCATTCTAAGCGCGAAGCATCGGAGAGTATGTTTTAATTTGAGCATGCCTTACAGTCTTTGTTACTTGCTAGTCCTCACGGTACCCGGTATTGATAGTCTGTGTCAATTGTGTCCGTGTATTTCGTGTCTGTGTATTTCAAAAGATCGAGTGGTATTCTGGTAAATTATGAAAAAGTATCTTTAATTAAAATCTGCTCTATACTTTGACAGCATCATGACTCGAAATTTTATAGCGAGCCTATGGCTTATCAGGCATTTGTGAACAGACTCTCCCAACGGTTTAGTTGGAACGTTTTCTGACTACTCTCAAAATTGTACCGCATAAACTAATTTTCAATCATTTTTTAAAGAAAAAACTATGTTCAAACGTTTGAAAGTTGTTTTCTTTTTTTTACGTAGGTGCGTCTAGAGTAGTTAAAACGCTACACTTCGACGATTTAACAATACGTTTATTTACCATCGAATTTTTTTCAATTTTTTTTTTTAGATTTTATTCAGAATTTCACCTATTTTACAATATTAAGAAATTTACAGATTAATATAGAGATGAAGAATAATTATGCTAATTGGTGGGTTGAGTACAGCCCTGTTGTGAGTTTGGACACTGGGACAGGGCCCAAATTTACAGATTACTACGTTACAATATTACATGATTACAATGTTGCTTACAATGTCTACAATTTACATGTTTGTTCATACCTGGGGGTACGGGGGGTACGGGAGGCCACGGGGGGCATGGGGGGAATAAATATGGGGCAGCAATTGGGTTGTTGTCTTTAAAGAGAGAAAGTAGGACGTCAAATTATTGATATTCAAGAGACTGCGGTAATTTCATCCACATCCAATGACAAGTCAATAAAATTACGTGAACTGCAAAAGAAAAGTAAGATGTGTGATAATTTTAGCACTGGATAAAAGGAACAGGTTCGAGAGCCGCATCGTTCAAATGTATAGCATATTAGCACCCTCGCCCATTCTGGTTATAGTGACCAGTGTTCAAGTTCTTAAATCTGGAATTTAATAGATTTGGACTTTAACTGACGACAGCCAAATAACAGCCTGGAACAGAAGGTAATACGATATACCTATTCCTCATAGCTCTCAAACTGACACTTTTGCCGGCGCAAAAAACATAGATTTACATTTGGACTGCATTTTGCAATTTGGACCTATAAATTCTGGCTCATCTGAAAAAACACTCATATGCATAGGGAAACTAATGGCACATACGTTGTTTTTAAACCGGGCCGGAATTCATAGGTCCAAATTGCAAAATGCAGTTCATTTGCTCTGGGTGGTGGGATTCGGAATCCGAAGGTTTACAATATGAACGAGGAAATTTTGAGCCATTCGTGAGGTTTAGACTCAACCAAAAAAAAAATTCGTTTTGTCAGTGGATTCAAACAGTTTTCAAAAGACTCGATATTTTTTCTTTCTTTTTTTTGGACAAAATTCCGTTACAAAAATCAAATACCTCGCAACGCCAATTCATTTGTTTAACGCGCACGTTTTCCTTCAACAGAATTTCATGAACGCAGCATGGATCTACATGAACGATTAAATGCGTTCATTTTCCCTGAAGCAGTGAGCTCTGGTTGTTTCGGCGATGACGTTCAGAAATACGTCGGTTTCAAAACTCATGAGCGAAAGGGCATTATTAACTTCTGTTCTCAGATTATTTTCGGTGAAGTAACATTGGAAAGGCAAGCGGGAGGATGTTTTAGTCAATCTGTGGTTATAAAAACTCAAAACAGGTTAGTACTCTCGTGCATATTTTTTTTTTTTTTTTTTTTTTTTTTTTTTTTTTTTTTTTTTTTTTTTTTTTTTTTTTTTTTTTTTTTTTATATCTGTAAAGACGCAACAGAGTTTTACTTTCCATTAAAAAATTTTTACGAGAAAATTGCATTGTTCTATATGAATGGTGTAGGTAATGCATTGAACTTTAAATATTGGTTATATTTCTTTTTCGGTTAGGGGATTTGAAACCAATTATATAAATTCGAGAGAATTCTCCGCCCTATGACCTCATGGGGCAGCATTTACCAATTAACACATGTGTGGTTTTTGAAATGACACATTGCACCTAAAAGCAGTTCAATTATTGTAATATCTATACTTGACAATCTGCTTTGAAGTTAAATTCCGTCATTTCGTAAATTTCGAAACTGTGTTATCATTTACAAGTAATTTTAATCGTCCTTTGTTATTCATGAGTTTTTGAAGTGTTACGATCGTGAAAGTTGATATTTTGGTAAATTCTTTCAGGCAGCCCTCAGCAGACTTACTAGCTATGTTTCATAACGAAGTACTGTTCTACACAAAAATCGTGCCTTTGTTCCAGAAATATGACAAAGAGAGATTTCTTTCGACGAGTTTGCCAAAATTCGTGTACGGCAAAGCAACCGATGGTCTAAAGCCTGACGAAGATATCATAATTTTTAAAGACTTGGCGCAAGACGGCTTCAAACCTTCTGAAAACCCTTACTTTTTAAACGAAAAGCACATTGAACTTGTGTTGGATCGACTGGGGAAATACCATGCCTTGTCATTTATGTGTAAATTTGACGATCCAATTGGATTTAAAGAAATATCAACTCAGATCTTAAAATTATCGAGCTTTCCACTGGATTTTGCATTTCCAACAAAAGAGGTAGGTCTCCTGGTTCACACTATTTGCGGGGAAAACAAGGCCTTGTTTTTGGTCCTCTTAACCCTTAATGAACTACCGATCGGAAAATATCCATTTGGAATCTGGTGTGTGTTCACAATTAGAGACTCTTGATAAATATGTATTTTTGAGAAAGATTATGCGTATTTTTCCTTTAAATTTTCAGACATTTTAGACAAAATTGTTTGAAAAAATTAAAAAAAAAAAAAAAAACATTAATAATGGACCATTAGATAAGGTACGAATTTCAGCATTCTAATACACGTTTCTTAACCAAAATTTTACGTAAAACACGATGCATACAACGAAAATTACCGAAATTAACTCCTTACGAAGATATTTAATGATTCTTGATGCGTGAATTCAAACCACCCGCTCATGAAAACTCAATGCTCTACGTGATTCACATCGCGCGCTAAACGTTATCATGACAGTCTCTGCGATTTAAACATCTGGCAACCTCAATCTTCGCTTTGGCTCAGTTATAACAAATTGCTAATAGTTTGAACAACACATGGTGGGAAATGAACATTGCTCGATTGAGAAGCTTGCTGAAACCGTTGTAGTGGGCGATTTGACTTATGTAGAGCTTTGAGTTTCTTGTGAGCGGGCAGTTCAAATTCCTCGTAACCAATGTGAAATAAAAACGTTAATATCTCCGTTAGGAGTTGGTTTCAGTAATTTTCGTTGTGTGAATCGTTTTCTACGTGAAATTCTGGTTAAGAAACATGTATCAGATCGCTTAAATTCGTACCTTGTCTAGTGGTCCATTTTCCCGGTAAACTCGGTTTTTATTGAAGTAAATTTGGCAACGTCTGAAAGTTCATATTGCGTTCTTCCTTAGCACGGCAGTGTTACGACCCTATTTCTTATCCCTCTAGCTAGAGTGGCTTCTTGAAGGCGGACAGAGCTCGTCGGAGGACCTGGAGATACCTTTTTGAATTTAGCGTTTATATTTCTTTCGCAGGCTTTCAGACATTGCATGCTCCGCGGTGTTGAACCACTGGAAGGAGACCCAAAGCACCGGGCTGGGTTGGCGAAACTGTGTGCTAATATAGACACTGTCAGAGGTCGGATGGATGGATTACGTGGTCGACTCCGGGCCTTTGACCGTAGTAGCCCATGGAGATTTCCACCCAAATAATATGATGTTCAAGTATGATGCTGAAGGTGAACCTGTGGAGGTTACGTTCTACGACTTCGCTATGATCAGACTCTGTTCGCCGGCAATTGACACGAGTCTTGTCTTGTTCTCCAGTACTGTTCCAGGGATGATTAATAATCGCTGGGATGACCTCCTAAATGTATATTATAGTAAGTGCGAGTTTTATTTCGTAGCAAAAAAGAACTAGCGCGATTACCTACAGTGTTCTCAAAATCGTGCGACTTCTTTTTTTCTTTTAAAAATACTTAATATTATGTGCACCCTGGTAAAAATTGGCGATAGGAGCAGCGTTTCAAAATACCATAGGAGTTCTTATAGCCGACTGAAGAAGGCGATAGAAAATCATATAGCTGGCTGTAGAAAGTGGAAAAAATCATACGGCCGGGCTACACGAAGCGATAAAAAATTAAACAGACGGGCTATAGTTCCTGTCGCCGGGCTTAACACTTTATCACCTGGCTGTTGCTTTTTCGCCATCGGCTATAAGGCTACACGAAATTGTGTAGAAATTCGTGTGCTTTGTAAATCCGCAAAATTGTACGGTATCACCATAATATTTCCAAAACGCCCATTATATTTTCCTTCAGGTACTACATATTTGTTTTCATCAATTAAAATGAGAATAATCCATACGGAATGTGCAAACATTTCAAAGTCATGAGTTGAACAAAGCTGACTCCACGAGATTAAATATTAGAGCCTAATACAAAGCGGAGCGGCGGCGCACTGGCGCCTACAAACCTAACAGGGATACTTCACGCACTGCGCAATGCGTGAAGTATCCCTGTTAGGTTTGTAGGCCCCAATTCGCGTTTCGCGCTGGCTGCCCGCCCGCCGCTCTGCGCCGCGCCGCAGCATACCACGGCGCTTGAAGCAACTATTTCACACCAGAGGTATTGCACAGTACCGTACGAAATTGAAGGCGCTCTAACATATTAGGAATGGCAGGCATCCTTCAAAAGTACGGAGCTTCTCTCGCAAAATAAATCAAGATACTACGGCCCAAAAAGAGAGCGGCAGTCCAAAAACTCACTAAGTCCTAGTATCCGTGATTAGTAATAGTAGATAGCATACACTTTATCGTCAGGCTGTTGCTTAATCGCCATCGGCTATAAAAGCCTATAAGAAATTGTGTTGCCGGCTATAGAAGCTATTGGAAATCTTACAGTCGGCTGTAAGTCTATGGTATTTTTGGAACACAGATTCTACTGCCAATTTTTACCAGGGCAGTATTAAGATTTACACAATTGTCTCCCTTTAAAATTAACGATTTTTTGGGGGGAAGTAAATACTATTTGCTATTCTGGGGATTTGTTTAAAAAGTTACAAAGATTTAACATTCTCACAACACTGTAATCAAGCTGGTTTCTTTTTACTAAATTCGATCTAATTATCATTGTTTACAAGTTTACAAGTATCATTACAAGTTTTTCTTTGAGTTTTGAACAACGCCTAGTTACAAATGAATACCTTGTTACAATGAGCCTTGTTACAAATAAATATAGAAGGAAAAAAAGTCATTTAAAATTTAAAGATCGACATGAATACAGAATGTCCCAGATTAAACAGTCAAACTACAGAATCGTGGTTTATAGGTCAAAAATAGTTTTTTCCATTTTTATTTTTTCCATATGTCCTCAGTCGAAGATACGCCGCCGTAAATTTTGGGGAAATCATAGCTTTTTTGAATTTTTGCGAAGTTTTGAACCATTACTCAAATGATGATTACTCACGATGAACTCATCCTTGAACAAAAAGATCAAAATCTTTCATCATCAAAATTATATTCATCCTTGGACTTAAAAAGATCAAAATCTCACGTTAAAGGGGAATTTCAGGTAGTCTTCAATCTTTCAAAGTTGTCTTTACCTCCAAACCCTTAAAAACTCCGCATTTGACTCGAAATTGTCTTATCTTCTCTGAGATGTATTTCAAGAAAAGAGATTAGACCCTGTATATCGTGCAAAATTTGGAATGCCACATAAAAGCCTCTATCCTTTTTCATTTTCCAGGTGCTGAGTCGCGTCAGATGGATGACTGTTGCGCATTCCGGCCACCTCTGGATGCAGTGAAACTGGACCTTGGGAAGAAAGGAATTTATTCCTTCTACTATGTTTCATTCGTTATCCCAAACTTCATCAGTATTATAAGCGGTGGCACCTTGCTCGATCCGCCAAATTTAGAGGGTTTAGACGATGTTGAAGTGGAAGCCACGATGAAGTCTTACATAGCACGGCGTAGGGAGCTGGGAGGTGCCAAAGCAACCGAATTATTGACTGAAATTACAAGGCTAATGCTTGATAAAAATTTCACCTTCGAATAGTAGGTCACGCCATCAGTTTTCAACGCAAATTCATGGAAAAAATGATGAATTTGAGTGATTCAGCTTTATATCATGAATGGTGCCTGCCTAAGCTTGAGAGTCAGTGTCAAACTGTTTGTTGACCAATAACAAAGGCGGCTTATGGAAGAGCGACTGCACATTGCACAAGGCACCATCAAAACAAATGAGCTGAAATGAAGGACAACGAAGATCGTAAACTTTGTCACAACCAACAGACAATGCGTAATCTATTGGCAAGTACAGTCCACTTAAGGACAGCCTTCAATTTTGCCGCATAGGCAACAAACATACCAGAGGGCGCGAATGGTTATAAATAAAAAAAATGCACACTTACATCATTCTATCAAATTTAATTCAACCTATATCACTCAAACTTAAAAAAATTGCGACCTGAAAAGTATCCAATTGCGCTGATCCGTCATTTTCGAGTTTGAGTCAGTAGTTTTTTACTTTGTCTTCGATAGACTTATTTTGAAGAACTATTACACAATAAAGGTACAATCGTTAATACCAGGTTAAAAAATTGTATTTTCGGATATTGGATAATGATTCTTTAAAAGTTGATGAAATGTGGTCCTTAAACTTAAAAATGCAGGGAGAATCACTGTTGACGAAGAAAATGAGGTTATGTCACTTTTTTTTTCAATTTTCCATTTCATATTAACTAAATAAAATAATGAATATACTTGAAATGCCGCTTAAGAGACTCTCCATGTTTACATGATATTTTGGTAATCTGTGGGTTCATGAGCATACCAAAACAAGCAGTGAACTCCAACACAATGTGTTGATAAGGCGCGTCATTAACTCGCACATATCAACCCCTTTAGTTTTCATTTACAGAGATTTCAAAATAGGCAAACAGCATAAAAAGAGAATTCACGATCCAACACTGCGAGGTCAAAGACGCACCTTGACGAGACCGTGTATTGTGAAAGTAGAAAGCTATTCGATCGAATTTAAGTTTTTTGATCTGCCTCAAGCAAAATCTTATCAGATTCTTGAAGAAAAGTGCTACGGAATAATTTAAGCGAAGAAAGGAAAAATTCTGTCGAACTCCTAGAAGATAAAGTCGATTTAAAGGTATTTTGGGGCTAAAATACCCAAATCACCGGTAGTAAAAATCCCGTTATATTATTGAAAAGAAATTGACTCGATATAAATGCAATTGCATTAAATACGTCTTGATTTTGTTATTTTAAACGTCTTTCCATGCAAAGAAGTTCAACCATGTCGTTGCTTTATTCATTCATGAATTGAAAGTAAGCAATCTACATCCCGAAAATCTACTGATTTGCCGTAAAAAATTGCAGAAACTTGATATACCAGGTCGATGCACCCACTCGTTGAATTTACCAACCAATTTTGTGAGTGCAAATGTGTAAGAATCAATATGCTATAGTCATTTTGGGTGCATTTATTTTTCATGAAACAATAATAATTTCAATCCCGAAAAACCATCAATTTTCCGTATAAAATCGAAAAAATCAAAATATGTCAACTCCCCGACGTGAAAATTAGATTCTACGTATGTAAAATGTAAATACTTATGTATCGATATGCTGAACAGAACTATGTGTGGACAGTCAGAAGCCCGCGGCAACATTAATTCAACAGAAAAACTGTAAAAATTAGATAGGATTTTAGCCGCTTTGCCCGCCTCTCCTCGCTACTTACAACAAACCGTTCTTATACTCATCTCAAAATTTTTCTCAGAGCTTTGGGTTATTATCAGCTTCCATTTAAACTCCGGTTCGATGGCCGAATCGGCTGCCAAAAAAGCAAGCCACTGTTGAGGGGTTCTATGAGAAATTCGTGATATTATCGGCTCTCAGGAAATCACCCCATGGCTAAAATTGGTGGTATAAATGTTTAAGTGCTTAAAATAATCGTATTCAAGAAACTAAGGAATTAAACTATGGAGTCAATTTCTTTTTAATAATATAACGAATTTACTACCGGTGATTTAGCTATTATAGCCCCAGAATACTTTTAAAGCGCCTTTGCGTTCCAGAATCTCGACGGAATTTTTTTTTTTTTTTTTTTTGCTTAAACGATTCAAGAAACATTGTAGTTAAAAATATAAAGATTTTTCGATTTGGACGTATGAAAAATGTTTAACTCGTTCAGGCACACCGTGTATTGTATGGAGTACTGCTGTTATTCGACCGTTGTCTTCAGGTCAAAATTCTTACAAAGAAGCCCCTTGCAAGAGGCAAATTTTTTGTAATTTCTCCCAGTTTTTTCAGCGTTAGGTATATAAATGAATTGTTTGTCAAATTTTGAGGTCAATTATATTTAATTGTAATTTATACTTTCTTTTTTTCCCCTTCATTTTATTTTTCGTATCGAGGAGTCGAGGTTTTGTTGATTTCTTCGGATTTCGATTACTGTAACTTCTCTTCTATTCGGCCGATTTTTATGAATGAGGTCTCTTTTTATTTGTGTTTTAACGGAGAGTAAGGAAAAAATTGCTAAATACATGCGAAACAATTTTTTTTGAAAATTGGATGAATCCTAGCGTGACGGTGAAATGGTTAATGAAGCGTGAGTAATTGGGGTACGGGTATCGGCCGCGTTGGGACCCAAGGCCCATTGTTCTTCGTGACGCCGACGCAGTGATCAGGAGCGTGGGGACGAGAGGGCTTAGTGGACTCCTGTATGAGCCACGTTTAGCAAATGGTCTAATGAGTCTCGAGGCTCATCACAGATTGCACTTACCACTATCCTGGTGGCCCCGGCTATCAGAGCAAGGAGTACCAACTTTTGAAAAGGATAACAGTGTTGTGGAGATATGTCAAAGCAACGTTGTGAACAAAACGGAGTGAGTGAAATTCTCATTCAAGGAGTGCCGAACTGGTCAGCCATCCTCGAATCAGTTCGCTTGCTTCCGCTTATATATGCATATTTTAAATCAGCGCGCCCCATTCTAAGGTTTTTTTAAAAAAAACCAAGAAACGTAGACTCTTGGTATTCATTACACATAAACTAGCGAGCCCCAGAATGAGAAACAAATTTTAATCATTATTATTGACGGATTAGTAAACTTTTTACACGCTTTGGAAAATCTCAGAAGTTCGCGGTAGTCACTTTTCGGTAAGGAACTAGGGGACTCGGTTATTGTATCGAGGGGGGGGTCGAAACGATCGCAAAGGCGGTATACTACGTATACGCGCCAAAAAGATTCCTTGACCCACACCGACCTACAAAGTCGCAACCGAATCGGTGGCCCTAAAGTCAACCAGCCACCACGTCGCAAACCTACACCCTTTGCAACGAAAAAGTTCCGTGCGACGAAGCACGTCCGCTCAGCACCATCGCAATCGATCAATCGAAAAAAATCGATCCTTTCGAAAAAATATCGATCCAAAACCCGACACTGACAACAGCGGTCAAACATGTTTACAAATAAATGGGCTCGCATTCCCTTGATTAAGCGTAGGTGTATCACACGAAGCTCTTGATGGACGAACTTTCTCCCTTTCCTGGGCAATCTTGACCCCCTCTCGACCCCCCTTGTCCCCTTTGTCTGTTCCCCGACTGTTTTCTATCTTGCTCCCCCCCCCTTTCTTCTGTCCAAACCTCGCATGTGCATTGGCTGGTGCAACTGAAATTAGAGATCTCTTATGCACCTCAAGGTTCACGAGATATCGAACGCATCAGGTTTGAGTATCGGCCGATTCAGGTATTCAAATGAGACATTGGTACTTGAGGAATCCGATGCTGCGCCGTTGATTATGCAAAATGCAGTGACAGTGATACAAAATCTTCGTTCTCCAGACGAAAAAACGTAACTGCAATTCAATGTTGCGAAATTTCCACTCGTTAATTTTGTTTTTACGAAGCAGGTGTACCATGATTTGTACCGGAAAAATACACTGAATTCTTCCTTAATTACATGCAAAAATCAGCACAATATTAGACAGATATTGTACGTCATATTTTTTGTAAAACCAACCACATATTTTTGTCAATTTTACAACCTTGGAATGGAGTTATGTTCGTTCATCTAGGAAACGACGAGGGTTCTCACATGCTGCCACACGGTAGCTGATGGAGGCGATTAAGTGATTATTCAATCGTTTAGTTAAAATACGCGCTGCCTCTCTTACGTTTTTCCTTTCCTCTTCAATTTATCTTGTCCGAAGAGAGACTCTGCAAAATAGTACATTTCTACGTGACAGTTCACGGAAAAAGTGGCTCAGCGCCGCGCGGAGGTAAATATTTCAGGAAAGCGATTTTGTCAAGTTCGATTGAAAATCTGTGATTTCAGTTTTCGATGTAGATCTTTCTTCAGTACATTCTAAATAGCGATTAAATTCGTTTATATCCGTTTGCACCTGGATTGTTTAATCTTTATCCAACCTTGATCGATAAACAGCATTCGTAAGATAGGGATGCATCAACCAGGATCAGGCGATCGATCAGACCAACCCACAATTGGCCCGCAGAGGGAGGAAAATTGAACTTTAATCCCACAACTTAGTCCTTCAACGCGCCCTGGACTTGGTGGGTTGAAACTATACAAAAATTCCCTCAAAAAAACGTTTAATGAGTTTAAAATTTAAAACCAAAAAACTAAGTTTAGTTTGAAATTTTTGTTAAGTTTTCAAATTCATCAGGTTCATTAAGTTTCAATATTTTAGCATAGAGAGACGAGGGTGTTGTTTAATGAATCATAAAAAAATCTTCACTCTCACCAAGAATGGCAGGTCAAAAGCAAATGTAAAAATGAGCTTTCATGATTATGATGTGATACACATTCACTAACTAACCAAATGAGTTCTTATTATCACTAGGTGACTTGTACCAATAGACTGGTAAAAACTACAACAAATATTATATCAAAGTGATTAGAAATTCTTGTGATGTACGCATATTTCGTTCAAATACAGCACTCCAGAAAGCTGAGTAAACGTTTTGGTGAGATTTAATATTGCTGCGTGAGTTGAAAATTGCCGAATATTTAGGATAAATCACAATACCATGCGATTTTTTTTTTTTATAAGCAATTGGAAGTTAAAATGAATTTTGAGCAAATTGACAACTTTTGGAGTACGCGTCAGGACTAAACGTTCGCTCCGGTCCCATTTTCTCATCGATTCACGAGAAAGTATCGAAATAATCGAGCTAGATGCAAACATAACATTTAATATGCGATAAATCGGAAAGGGTGTCGAATTATCGAACTTCGATTATAAATCTAACAAGCCGACACGTCTGATCGAGATTGTGATGCATGTGTCTCAAAGGACAAGGTGCTAGGTTGAGGCTTGAGGCTACAGCGTTGCCAAATCGAAGCCACTTCGGATAATGATTGCCTCTTTATGAACTTTTAATAGCAGAGGTTGTGATTTTCAGTTGAAACAGATAATTAGAGTTCAAAAGGATCAATATATTTTCCTATAGGGTGAAATTACACATGGTAAAGTGTAAGGGATTGTCAGTCCAGAAACGTTTACTCAATTTTCAAGTGGGAGTTTTGATCTTAACTGTAAACTTACTGTAGCTTTGTAGCTTTTTTACCAAGGCATTTGTCAATAATTTTTAAATTTTAATACTTTCAGCGTGTCATCAATGCTTCGGGCCGGACTTGAATGGGTCAACTGTGCATGAGATTTGTGTGTTGATAACCTTTTCTAAAGAGGTAGCCATAGACACAACTGTTGCCGAAAACGTATAGCCTAAATTT